TATGGAATGATGAGGGCATCAGAGTAGATGTTTTGTGCTTTGCCAAAACTGTGGCAATGGTTAATTGTCTCTGGGAACATGAGAAATTTAGCCTGTGGGAAAGTGATGCCAAAACTCTAGTGAGAAAGTAGATCATTTGAAGTGGTCTCAGAAGGCTATCATTCCCCCTTGAGGTCAATAAATCTCATCTCAAGGCTGGTAGTAGGTAGGTTAGCACAGGGGAAATAGTTTTCAGAGCCCAGTGAGCCTTTGGGAAATGAGAAACATTTACAATTGGTTATGGTGGATAAGAAAAAGTCAATTATGGCAAAATCATAGAGCACTCCATGTATGCATTCTCTCTGGAAAACAGTTCTGATTACTGTCTCCATCTTACAGATGAGAAAATCAAGGTAGGAAGTAATTAAGTAATTTCCTCAGGAGCATATTGCCTATAAAAAGGAAGAGTGAGAAGGCAGGAAGAGCACTGGGATTTGAATTTAGGGAAATCTGAGTCCGCAAACTGTGGATTCAACCATTATGCATTCAGGAATCTTTATATTAGTAAGACCATTGGAGGAACCAAAGTTTGTTTGACTTATGTAGATGCCGGGGATCAAGGCCATCTGTATTAAAAAAGGATGAAAGCAGGCAAAGTTTTCTTTTGGTTCACTTTCCCCTTTTTATTGTCCCTCAAGGGTTTCTACTCTTTGTTTTAAATTCATTCCTAATTGCAAGCCTGTTTCATTTCTAGAAGGGATTTCTGGTGGAGATAGATTCTGATATTAGCTCACAAAGTCTGGAGGCACTTCTCTTTTATTTTTTTCCTTGGCAGAACTGGGGTTTGAACTCAGGGCCTCACACTTGGTAGGCAGGCACTTTACCACTTGAGCCACTCCACCAGACCTGGGGTACTCCTTTAAGGGATTTTTGCATTTCAATTAGAAAAAAAATTAAGAGACAAAATTTTTCAAGATACACAGGAACCATTTTATTTTATTATTATCTTTTTAAAATTCCAGAGCTTTTTATTGTTTGAATACCTATACACACAACTGGGCCAAGAAGTCCCCAGGGAAATGATAGCCACATTTCACTATTATTTGTCCTTCATCTTCTAAGCACTTCCTATATTTTCTTTTAATGATATTTAACATTTATTTTGATCACAAATGCAACCCAAGTGTGAATAAATAAACTCATTATCTTTTATCCTCCCTCTATGTTCCTTTAAATAGAAAAAGTGCTAAATGTCTCTTCATGGTCTATTTGGCCTCAGTAGTCCCACCTATGGTTTTAAAAACAGATTTTAACTTGATCTGAACTCCTTCTTGAACTATAGCTCATTCGGTTAAGGAAATCCTGGGGAGAAAAATTCTACTGATATTGTCGATAGTCTCCAAAAGATGAGGATGGTAACTGACTTGAAGGCAACTGGGAGGGGTCTTCAGCAAACTGAGGACCACTGGGAAATGGTGCAGGGCAAACCTTGTTAACAAAATACCGGCTTCTTAATTAAAGCTAGCAGAATGCCACCCATCGCAACTGAGCCAACCATGGCCACTGGTCAATTTCTTGCTGCCAGGATGGCTCCTGTTAAGGTACCACTTCTGTTGGAATTCCAGGGATTTTCTTTTCCTCTGACTTGAACCATACTACAGTGTGATACTACAGTCAATCATGGAAAACAGGCCTCCCTGTTTTCCATGTAACTGCAAAGCTACCTCCCAACTGTGGAGCCCTGGTTTTTTTTGTTTTTTTTTTTTTTCATTTTTCTTTTATTATTCATATGTGCATACAAGGCTTGGTTCATTTCTCCCCCCTGCCCCCACCCCCTCCCTTACCACCCACTCTGCCCCCTCCCTCTCCCCCCCTCAATACCCAACAGAAACTATTTTGCCCTTATCTCTAATTTTGTTGTAGAGAGAGTATAAGCAATAATAGGAAGGAACAAGGGTTTTTGCTGGTTGAGATAAGGATAGCTATACAGGGAGTTGACTCACATTAATTTCCAGTGCGTGTGTGTTACCTTCTAGGTTAATTCTTTTTGATCTAACCTTTTCTCTAGTTCCTGGTCCCCTTCTCCTATTGGCCTCAGTTGCTTTAAGGTATCTGCTTTAGTTTCTCTGCATTAAGGGCAACAAATGCTAGCTAATTTTTTAGGTGTCTTACCTATCCTCACCCCTCCCTTGTGTGCTCTCGCTTTTATCATGTGTGGAGCCCTGGTTTTAATCGCTGTCAAACTCCCTCGTAGTCTGTGGTTTACTCCCACTGGGGAATTTCGAAAACCTTTGATTGCTTGAAAGATACTGCTACCATGGGACCCACTGTAAAGGCCCCACCACAATCATCACTATTCTCCAGGGGCAAGGCTCTCACGAATACTCCTCCATCTTGACTCACTGGAGCCATTTTAAAAGTGATGCTTTTATCTCCAATTTGGACCAATGGAGATGGTATTTTCAGGCTAGGTCCTCTGTTGAAAGCCCTCAAAGCCCATTGTGGAATGGGAAGTGGCAACCTTCTCATATCCTGAAAAGCCTTTTACAGTTCAGAAATGGGGAAAGAGAGTTAAAGGAAGGAGAAAACATTGCACAGGTGGAGAGTGATCTAAAAAGGCGGCAGAAACGAATGGAATCTCATAATGAGGTGCTGAATTTAAACTCTCCCCCTGTTAGTTTCTATACATGTGATTGTGGACAGATGAATAAAAATCACCTGCATAAAAATGCCTGCTTTTATAGACTTCTGAGGATTGAGTAAGATAAAGACTGAAAGGCAACAACCAAAGGCATGCTCACAGACAGGAGGCTTTCAGCAGATGTTGATGCCCCCCCGTCTCTGTTTCTCTCTTTCTCTCTCTCTCTCTCTCTCTCTCACACACACACACACACACACACACACACACAAACAAACATTTTGTGTGAAGTAGGAAATCAGGAAGAAAAACTAAAAACTGATGGAACTGAACTGTCTGGAAAGGAAAGACTAAGTTGTGAGATTCTTATTCCTTGGCACAAATCAGTCTTTGCTGCACTTATTCATTCAACAGTTGAATGTGTCTATAATTCTCTTGAATTTGAGACTTAGGCTGCCTGCATTTAAAATACTGCTTTTGTGAGTCCACGTCTTTATACGTTTAGAATCTGATAACCTGGCCGACTGAAGACATTAAAGCATTGTTGGTATTTTTGTCTTGATTGTTCTTCAGATATAGCTTCCAATGAGAACTTCAGAAAGTTAAACAATTATTTTCTGTTATACCACATTAGCCTGGAACACTATGCACAGATCGCTATTTAACCAGAACATATTTAATCAGTTGATCTTCCACTAACCTTTGGCCATTGTGTTTTATTTTCTGGTAGGTGAACACATGTAACTTTGAAAATATCAAAATATTAGAGCTAGAGGCATGGTTCAAGTGGTAGAACACATGCCTAGCAAGCATGAGGCCCTGAATTCAAGCTCCAGTACTCCTAATGTTTAAATGTATGTATGTATATAGATGTATATGCATAGATTATATATATATAATATATATATATGTATATCATAGTTATGATTTACCTAGTTCTGAAACTCCACAGCTCATGAGTGAGCTACAACAATTGAAATAGCATAGGTGATGCAATTGTTGGATTTTTAAGAACTCCCTTGGATTTTAATTGAGGATCACGGGTTACATTCTTGTTCTTCTACAAAGACCATGTATGCCTAATACCTCTGACCGTTAACTTTTAGATTGAAAAGGCCAAGAAGGATAGGTACTTGTCAGGACCAACTTAGAGACTGAAAATTGGATTAGGGGTTTGCCAAATGCTCTCTGAATATCCCCTGTCCTCACCAGCCTGTGTATACAAATAAGATCATGGTAATGTTCCTTTTTGAATTTTCCAGGTCTCATAGCTTTTTTTTTAATTATTAAACTCCTTGTCTAGCCAAATGCTCCCATCATCTGACAGCCCTGAAGGGCTGCCTCATGTATGCCCAGGAAGGAGTTTACACCCATTGGGTATAACTGCTGCCTCACTACTCTGCCTTCCTTTTGCTATGTCTTTTGCCACTTGTCCCTAGGAAGAACACTGCTCTCCATGGAGCGTAATACCCTGGGGTTTCCCAGTGTGTCATCTGGTGCCATGTTCTTTTCCAGCTCCACTAAACTGCTGGAGCTATGGTGTATTCTATGAAGGGAGAGAAAGAGAAAATTCTCGTTGCCTAACTCTGTGTTCCACCTATCACCTGCATCCTGAGGTGGCACTGCTTGGCATATAAGCAGCTTCTTCTGAAGCTTATGAAGTTTCAGAAGAGGACCATTTCATCCCCTCTGTTGTTTTCAACTCTCCATTTTGTCCCCCAGATACCCATGAACCAACTTCAGCCAAAAACCCAAAGCCTTTATAGAAATCAATTTAGGCAAGTGTGAGTCACCAGCCTCATCTTCAGTTTTTACTTAGGCTCAGCCATCCCCATGCTGCTACCCAGTCATGAGGTTGTCTGGTTTCACCTAGCTCATTACCATAGGGGACTGAGATGTTGTCAGAGTCTAGTGGTGACTGAAGTCATTAGTCACTATTGATCAACTGAGGACTGCCCCCAGTAAAGGAATCACAGTAGCATAGGGAAGAACCTCTTGAAGAGTTTATGAATTCATTTCATCACACTGCCAGTTGAATAAGATAAAACTCAAAACATGTAAATAATTTGGTTGAGAAGACACTCCTATGTGTAGCTGAGAGGAAGTTATTAATTTCTGTGGCCTTTAGCACACTATGTGAATTTATTCCTGGACCTTCAGTTTTCTTAAAGCAGGAGAGGCAGATAGTCATGGAATCCAGATAAAAGGAAAGATACATTATCTTCATCACTCAGAGTTCAGGAGAGACAGGAAGGCAGAAAACCTAAGCAGAGATATAATTCTTTTTACAAAGAGTCTACCATGTTTTAATGGCCAGGATCCTCAGTGAAGTGGTAGGCATCAGTTTTAATGGCCTCATCTCCTCCCTTTCTATTTGAAACAGGACCTCCAGTCATTCATTCTGGAATCAAAGACCTCAAGGTCTTGAAAACCACCCAGTCTGGATTTGAAGGATTCCTCAAGGACCAATTCACCACCCTTCCTGAAGTGAAGGACCGGTGCTTTGCCACCCAAGTATACTGCAAGTGGCGCTATCACCAGAGCAAAGATGTGGACTTTGAGGCTACTTGGTATGAATGAGTGCTAGGACCTAACACTTAGGTAGAATCTGCCGTCTTCCCAGGGCCTAGACTTCATGTAGTCTTAGATCTCAAAGAGAAACTTAGAGGCTGGTTTACTCAACATCCTCATTCAGAAATCCCTTTAGTATTTTAATTTATGAAACAAGCTGTTCTCAAACATTAGTGAGCATCAGAATCACCCAAGGACTTGCTAAAACAGAACTGACCCCCCCCCCATACCTGAGGATTTGCATTCCTAACAACCTCCCATGGGTTGCTAGACTCAAGAATCACTGTATCAAATTAAGGTAATATCTAGCTTCAGTACCTCATTGTGATGCAGAGGCAGCTAAATAGTGAACAACCCATCCCAGTTTGTCAGGAACTCTTCTGGTTTTAACACTAAAAATTCTCATGACCCAGGAAGTCTCCTGATCCTAGGCAAACTGGGATAATTGGTCACCCGAGGCTAAATTCAAAGTGGTATGATATTCATAGAAGTACTTTATAAATGACAAATGCTATAATAATATAAAGGTATGATTATTATAATATCTTTGACAAGGAATAATTAGGCTTCTGAACTCCTGGAGCTTTCTTTTTGACTAGGTATCTTCTTCTTTTGTGGAAGTTCTAATTGTTAGAAATTTCTACCCTATGATGAGCTGGAATCTGTTATTTCCTCCCTGCTCCCTATAGCTTCCTCCCACTTGCAGTTTTCTCTGCTTTTTTTTTTTTAATCATGTGATAGGTTTTTAAATGTTTGAAGAGAACCTCTCATTGGTTCTCTTTCCCCTTTTTTATTTCAAGTGTTTCACTGGGCAGCAAGAGCCTACTATATTTATGTTGAAAGAGTAAGAGAGTAACATATTAGCATCAAGGGAGTGCTCTCTGGGCCTCCCCGAAAGACAGGGTCTCAGAGTAGATCTTTTAACTTTTGAGCTTAGTTTCATTATCTCTATATTGGGGATAATAATAGTACCTGCTTCAGCAATATTGAGAATTCAATGACATAATCACAAAATGTATAGCTCATAGTCTGCAGAGTAAAACCCTAAGGCAATATTTCATAGAACCAGCCAAGGAGAGCAATGAGAGGGGTAGTGTTTCTCTTCATAGATTCTTCTTCAAACATGGTGGGAGGTTTGCCCTGAAATGCCATTTGGCCTTGTTAACAATCAATGAGAACACCCTAGTGATATCTAAGGTTTGGTGAATGGTGTGTGTGTGTGTGTGTGTGTGTGTGTGTGTGTGTGTGTGTGTGTGAGCGCGCACAGAGAAATGGGAATTTAGTTTAAAAAAATTTTTGTCCTTGGCATTACAAGATAATAATCTCTTCTAAAACCATCAATAAAATTATTTCCTTGGGGACAGAAATGTCACTACTTCTTAGCTTTATGATGTATCCTTAAAATACTATTTTATGAGAGTTCTCAGTTTCCTCCTGTGTTTCAGGGGCACTGTTTGGGACATTGTCCTGGAGAAATTTGCTGGACCCTATGACAAAGGCGAGTACTCACCCTCTGTCCAGAAGACCCTCTATGACATACAGGTGCTCTCCCTGAGCCAGCTTCCTGAGGTATGTTTTGTCACTTACCATTCTGAAGACTGAGAGAACTTGTGTCTCCTGTCAGCTCTGAGAAAGAGTTGAGAGTTAAAATAAGAAAGTGGAAGACACATGAGAAATGACATCTGTTGTTGTTTAAAAGCTTGTTATAGCAAGTGAGAAGAGAGCAAAAAATGGAAAAATCTGTTCAACCTAAAAACACAGGCCATTGCTATAGTTCTCTAGTTTTGTTGAAAATTTTTTGAGTCCCTTCAACCTACCACTGATTTGGGCTTCAGATTCAGGACACTTCAATGCCTTGACAGAGGGATAATTAGATGAAGTTCTACCTTTCAGGGGGTCCAGAGAATGAAAGCTAAAGGTAGACAGATTCATCCCATCCATTTGCTCATCCATCAATTTATTTGATATTATGGGTTATTATGTCTCTGGCAGCACAAAAGGTATACACAGATAAATTGAACATGACCCCTACCTTCAAAGACCTCATCATTCAGTGGATAAAGAAAATAAGTCAGTAAATAACACAATAGATAATAGATTATTATGGAAATACAGAGGAACAGTCTAACTGAAGTATAGGGGATAGGGTCAGTCAGATTTTCTGGAGGGACAGGTGTGTATGTGTTGAGTCTTTAGAGACAAGTTGGGGTAATTTGGGTTTATACTCAAGGAGCAGGGTAGGTATGGAGACAAGATAGTATGGTAAGGCTCAACCATATGTGAAGATCTGGAAGTGAAAGTCTATCCATGCCTAGATACTGGGTGGCAAGCAGCCAACAGAGCCATTTTGGCTTATTTATAGAGTTTGTATTTTATCCTTAGAGCTCTATGAGCCACTGAGGAATTTAAGCAGAGTGTAGCATAGCCATATTTGTACTCTAGAAAGATCACTGATAGCAGTGTGTTGAACTAAAAGGATGATGGACCACATGCAATGAGACCTGTGGGATCTGTTGCAGAAATCTGGCAAGGAGAGCCTGGGCCAAGGTCATGCTGGGATGGAGAAAAGCACTATGGGATAACAGGGACTTCTGCCTTCGTCCAGCACTGTAGAGCCCTCCCTTTAGGCCTTTCTCTGCCTGTGACACCCTCCATTGGGTAAAGAGTTGATGGACAGGCTGGATGCAGTTGTTCACACCTAAAATCCCAGATACTCAGGAGGCGGAGATTGGGAGGATCATGCTTTGAGGCCAGCCTGGGCAAAAGTTAGCAAGATCCCCATCTCCACCAACAAGCTGGACATGGTGGTGCATGCTTTTTTTCCCAGCTATGCAGGAAGCATAGGTAGGAGGCAGTCTAGGCTGCCCTGGGCAAAAAATACAAGACCCTATCTGTGAAATAACTAAAGTGGAAAGGGCTAGGTGTATGGCTTAAGTGGTATAGCACCTGCCTGCCAAGCACAAAACTGAGTTGATACTCCATACCACCCCCCAAAAAAAGGAAGGAAGAGAGGGAGGGAGGAAGGGAGAGAGGGAGGAATGGAGGGAGGAAAAGAGGAAGGGAGGGAGGGAGGAAAAAATGGAGGGAGGGAGGGAGTGAGGAAGGGAGGGAGGAAGGAAAAGAAAGAAAGAGTTGATGGAGCCAAAGCAAAAAACTCTCAGGGGTCCACACATTCTTCTGAACTTCCTGTCCAAAAAGCCCAGAGACTACTTCCAGAACCTGAGCAAGCCATTTCTAGAAACCTGTCCTCTGGAAGACACGTGAGAGGACTGGTGTTCACATCCTTGGGCCTGAGAATGAGCAAAGGGACAGGTGTTTGTAGAAAGTATGGATGAGACTTGATGCACAAGCTGGAATATTTAGCCATGAGTCCAGCCCACAAAATGGGATGGGCCCTGGGACTGGGGGCTGGCTCTTCCCATGTTCCCAGGTCTTATCATGCACTCCAAAGAATCAGAATTTTCAATGAAAACCTGGTCTTCTAGGTGTTATGAAGGTATATTTCTCAAGTTAGAAGAACAGAACATACTGTACTTAAAAAAACTTTCTAGCTTGGGTATTACCTTTAAATCTTTCTGCGTTTGGTAGTGAGTTTTCAGTGTTACTCTTGCCCCAGGGCCTGTGAGTGCTAGGGACAGGCCTGGGAGAGAATAAAATGAGGAGGAATTTAGGATGTTGATCGCCTGGTTTTTGGAGACCAGTTGGAAGTCTAAGAGGTCTCCCAGGTTCCTGACTCAAGGAAAAGCCAATTTTGTACACTGAGGGAGTAGGCATGCAATATAATAATTGGACTTGCAGCAGAGAACAGTGCTGGACAATCGAGAAACATCAGAGAGTATCTCAAGACAGAGCTGGAGCCTGGGTGATGGCTAGTAGGTAGGAGGAGTGAAGGGTGGGTGGAGTGACAGACAGACTTACATGTGCCCCTGTGTGATATACTATTTTGGATTTCAGATAGAAGATATGGAAATCAGCCTGCCAAACATACACTACTTTAATATAGACATGTCCAAAATGGGACTGATCAACAAGGAAGAGGTAAGAGAACTTTAAAGATATTTAATGCACATTTCTGCCTCATTCGCCTCTTTGTAAACTTGAGATGATAATATCACTGACTAAAACTCTTAACAGCTGCTGCTTTGAGGAATATTTATAGTTGCCACTGATTAGAGCCCTTTTAGACTCTGGGTCTTTCAATGCCTGAGGCTGGAGTACTCTAGAAGTAGATGAATGATTATAGAGGAGGGTTGGAAGTTGCAGAAAGGAAAAGACAAAGAAGGAGCAGAGTGAGACCAAAGAAACAGCTCTGAGCTGTACTTCTCGGAAGAGTGCCGTACAAGGTCACAGCTTCATTATTCTTCTATCATGAGGCAATGAGGGCGGGGGAAGATCAGATTTTCATGATCTTACCTGCTGATTAAGTGGTCAGTTCAGTAGCCTACAGTGCACACAGGGAAGATGAAGGAGTTTTGTTTATAATGGCAATTAGAGAAGGCACGATGAGGAAATTCATTTTTTGAAGGATTCCTTTGTCTTTGGGAATGACATTGGCCCTGGCTTGATTTTAGTGATGGCAGATAATTAAACCACCCAGAGTGTCTGACTAGGGCACCCAGAGTCCTGACAGGTGGCTCCTGTGGTCAATTCCTAAGAGGTCAGAACTGTCCCTCCCTTATGGTCTACTTTCAAAATGGTAGGATTTTGCCATTTAATCCATTGGAAACATAATTTCGGGTAACTTCTTTAGTATGTAGGAGAGAGTGGGACAGGAAAGAGGTTACCTAATTTCTACAGCTCTGCTGCTGTAAAATCATATTCTTTGGTGAATAAAGATAACAAAGGGACCACTGGAAGGTATCATATTCTGGGTCCGCTGACCCAGGAGCCTTGCAATCTCTCAGGTACCTTGTTTCTGTTTTGCAAATAATGTGGGTAGACTCCATTGGGCTTTGCAAATGGATACCAGGGGTGGCATTACAAAACAAAGGTCATACTGAGATGTCTGTTAGAGGGGGTCTTGAGCCCCCGAGTTGCAGAGAAGGGCAACTTGGTCCCTTGTGCTGCTTATTCAGCTGAAAGGAGAGGCAGCACTCTTTAACTCAGAAGAAAGAAAGGATGGTGACAATTAGAATTTCATTAATTAGGATGAAAAGCCATTTGACAATGATTACCTGCTAAAAGGCAAGATAGAAACCCTGAGAGTAACCATGGCCAGGTCCTTCAGAAGCCAAACAAAGAAGCCCCAAACAGAAACAGGTCAGGATTCATGACTAGAGCCCCTTTCATCAGGGGCCTAGGCAGACAGGAGGGTTCTTTGGAGGCCCCTGAACTTCAGGACTGCACTGACCGTTTCAAGGGCTTGTCCATGGGCTTCCTTTAAGAAGTCAGACACAGGCCCTCTCCTAAATCCCAGCTAGGGACCTGGAGGTCAGAAGGTCTGAGTTCCTTTGGGTCAGGATGCTGCATAAAGGCACTTGAGTGCCTGATCAAGCTGCCCCTACAACTTGGGGATGGCATGGGCCACACTCAGACCCTCACCATGTGCGTACAAAGTGAAAGTAACCCATGAGAAGCAGGAAGGCAGCCTAATAACAGCAGAGAAGTGGCAAATGACAGGGTGGGAAGACAGAAGAACTCTAAAAACACGGCTATTTAGAGCCACTTCACATTGTCCTAAGAGCCCTGTGGGTCTCAGATGCTCTTGAGGCATGGTTGGATTACAGCATTGGACAATGATTGATGTCCACAGAAAGTCATCAAGAAGACTATTCAAAAAGAGGGGATAATATAATGTATTTTTAATAAAATTTATTATTAAAAAAATTTTATTATATTATTGTTTCACTGGGGGTACATTGTGCCATTTACAAAAGTGCTTACAATGTATCTTGGTTAAATTCATCCTTCTATCATTCTTCATTATCTCTTCTCCTCCTCCCATTCTTAGAATCGTTTCTACAGCTCCCATTTTTCTACTTTCATACATGAGTACATAATATTTCCACAATATTCACCTCCTTCTCCCTTTCCTTATATCTTCCCCACTCTGACTGGTACCAATCCCCAGACAAGACCTGTTTTACCCTCCTGCCCTCCATTTTTGAAAAAAAAGACATTTTTGTTTGTTTAAGACATCTGTGCAGGAAGTTTCATTATGGCATTTCCATGTATACATGTATTATATCACAAAGTGGTTCATCCCCTCCATTTTTCTCCTTTCTCCTTTAGTCCTCTTCTTATTGTGACTTCGACAGATTTAAAAATTCTGTATTCATTCTTGTATAGAAAGTACATCAACCATATTCACTTTCTTAATTTCCTTCTTTTACCCTCCCTCTCCCATTGGTGATCCTCCCATTAGCATGACCTGTTTTTCATTCTTGTCCTTAATTTTTTAGGTGTCTGTTCATTATTCAGTGAGATTTTTGCCTTGGTATTATACCTGTTCCTGCATTGTGCTTAAGTCAATATAACCTCCTTCCTGTACTTCCTCACCCTTTCACCCTGTACTGTGTTTAGCAGTTTCCAGTGTGTTTCTTTTGTCTTATTCCTACACAGATGTGGTGTACTTCATTATTATTTGCTATCTTTCTTTCCTTCTTTTCCTCCTCCCTTGGTCTCCTCTACCAGTCCCACTTTTGGATACACGTTCTGTATATATTTCTATGTATATATAATATTGCTTGCATTTGTATTGGGCCCATATTCCACATATGAGAGAAAACATGTGGCCTTTGGCTTTCTGAACCTAGCTAACTTCACTTAAGATGATGTTCTCCAGTTCATCCATTTACCTGCAAATGACAAAATTTCATTCTTCTTTATGGCTGAGTAAAATTCCATTGTATGTAAATATACATTTTCTTAATCCATTCATCAGTTGTGGGGCATCTTGACTATTGTGTTTCTATAGCTTGACTATTGGGGACAAGGCTGCAATAAACATGGGTGGTCAGGTGCCTTTGTTGTAACCTGACTTCATTCCTTTGGGTATATCCCCAGGAGTGGTATTGCTGGATTATATGGTAGTTCTATTTTTAGTTTTTTCAGGAGTCTCCATACTGTTTCCCATAGTGGTTGTTGTATTTTAGAAGCACTTATATCCAATGATTAATTTTTTTAAAAAATTCTTTAATTTTCTGGAGAATCAACTCACCTCTCAACTTTTGTCAGAAAAATAAAGCATTACCATGCTTGAAGTAACTTTACTGCAGGGCATTCACATTTTCCTGTTTAACAAGTTGCTGTCTTTGTTGTGATTTTCAAATTGATTCAGAGAAAGCAGACTGCTATGTTAATGTCTCTGAAGTTACCATGTGTATTTCTACAGGTCTTGTTGCCGTTAGACAATCCATATGGCAAAATTACTGGTACAGTCAAGAGGAAGTTGTCATCAAGGCTGTGACATCGTGGCCACCAAATAGGAGTCCACTCTCAGCTGAATTGCTTACGGTCATTTGGGATGCTAGAGAATGTACTGTGTTAGCCCTGAAAAATTTCAAGCTAGAATGTACTGTGTTAGCCCTGAAAAATTTCAAGCTAGAATATTGATTTTTGGTGTCTATTTTCTTTCTGCCTGAGATAATTAACTTCTCTAAACCTGGTTCAGTAAGGCATTTTATGGATTACCTTATTAATAGTTACAATATGCTTTGTGGGTATAGTTTACTTAAAAAACACTGAGCAGTATTAGAACAATTATAAATTCATATTTCTTTTCTGATGCAGAGTAAAATGTTAATATATTTTATCATTATAATGCTGCATGACTTTCATTATTGAGTAGAAAGAAAATGAAACAAAATGTCTTAAATAATTAATTAATTAATATTATTTGTTTTGGTGGTCTTGTGCCTTCCTATGTTTGAGAAGATTTAGAATTAATTAAGAAAACAATAATGGATTATGGAGGCAACACACCTGTTAATTTGAGTACACCTTTAAGAATCAAATGGTGTTTTCATACTACTGATACTTCTGGGTAATGCAGAAAATGTAACAAAATCATACTGAAAAATATATCATTGTGACCTCAATTGACTCAATATTTTTAATTTTTAACAGTTCTGTTGCATATGTACCATTAGTAATTTATTTCCATACTGATTATGATCTTAATGTATTGATTTTATGACTTTCACAATCCTTAGAGAATATTTAGTACACATTGGGATGTTAAAATAAGTGTAAATTATTTTTCTTTGAACAATGGATTCCTTTGGTGTAAAGAGCCATATTTAATAAATGTCAAGTCAATATACACATGAATAAAAATACATATAGAAAGAAGACATATATATGTGTATATATATGTATATGCTTATACATATATATGTCAGCAATGATGATTTCTGGATGATGGGACTATGAGTGATTTTCATTTTTCACCATGTACTTTTCTGAATCTTCCAAATATTGGAGATTTTTTGATTTCATAATCAGGGAAACAAATATAACTGATGATTTAAAGATGTATACAGTTGGAGATGTGATTAGCTTTACATAAACCAACTAGGATTACTCGTTTATATATTCCACAAGGCTTTATAAACTACAATTTTAGAAACCTGTGACTAAAACCTATTCACATGAACATTCTAGATAACCTTCCTCCCTTTTAAAAATTTCCTTGTAACTAAAAAATAAAATACCCATTACTCTAGAAATGCTCACATATGATCCGTTAGTATTGTTTGCTAATCCTGCTTCATTAGCCTTTATGGTACTACTACCTAAAGTAAAACAGTTGTATTAGTCAGCTTTCCATTACTATTGCAAAAATACTTGAGGCAATTAAAAGGTTTATTTTGGCTTCCAGTTCTAGAGATTGCAGTCCAAGATCAGGTGGCCTCTTTGGGCCTCTTGCAAGGCAGTATATCATGGAGGGAACACAAAAAGGAGCAAAATTACTTATGTAACTGCCAGGACCTCAGGACCTCCCACCAGGCCTCTCAGAGGCCCCACAATCTTCCAATAGCACCACCCTGGGGAACAAGTATTTAACATGTAGACTTTTGAAGACAGACACTTGTCTAAACCACAGCAATTGTGCAGTGGTTAATCATACGAAATCACGTAAATCCAGACTGTACTCTCTACTACATATAACCTTCCTCACCTACAAAATGGAGGTAAAAGTAGAACCTACTCCACGGATCTTTCAAAGATTAAATGGGTTAATTTTTGGGTTTTTTGGCAGTACTTGGGTTTGAACTCATGGCCTCACAAGGGCTCAAGTACTTGAGCCATACCCCACCCCTTTTTACTTTGGTTTTTCAGCAGGGTCTTGTGCTTTTGCCTGGGCTAGTTTTAGACCTAGTCTTATCCTCCTACTTTTGCCACCAAAGTAGCTGGGACCACAGGTTTGTGACACCACACCAGGCTTGTTTTTGAGATAGGGTCTTACTAGCCCATGGTTTGGGCTTGCCTCAAACCATGATCCTCCTGTCTCTGCCTCCCAAGTAGCTGGGATTACAGGTGTATGTCAACATATCCAGCCCTAAATGGGGTTTTTTTGAGTGATACATAGACATTTCTATATAAGTATTTGTTGAATATAATAAATAACCTACCTCCTTTTCATGGTTTCTAGGCTCAATTAGAAAGTCATTGTTGGTCTCCATGGGTCAGGTTAGAGTTGAAAGGTCTTTAAAACACCAAACCTCATAAAGTAATGGAGACCATTCACAAGCTAGTTAATGCCTGCTTCAAAAGCACAGGATAAGAAAGATAAAATAATTTGATAGGAAAGTTTTGTGCTACCCTGAATACTCATGTTACAAAATGTGCTTCTGTATCATGTGACTTGCACAGCCAAATGGCTGCTACATTTTATTCCTCTTTCAACTTGATGATGCTGTTTCAAGAGGAAAGAGTCTAACATGGCTTTCCTAAAAACAAACAAACAAAATTACATTAGGCCTTTCTAATTAATGTTTTCTTGTTCAGCAAAGTTTTAGAAACACATTTTTGTTTTTTCAGGAAAGAAGGCCATGTTAAGGGCAGAAACCTTCTCCTGATCTTAACACATTTGCTATAAAGGATTTCAAAGTAGGTGATGGACGCCCTGTACCAGGTGTGTGACAGGAAAGCCTTCAGCCTGTCAAATTCTCAAGGATTTGTTTTTGTGAAAAACACTTTCTTGCAGTTCAGATTATAAAGTGTGTGCTGAAAACCAGTCTTGGGTTTCACCTGCTCTAGGCCTGGACACCTTTGGGGTAATTTGTATCTAACACTTGGTAATTTTGCTCTGGAAGGTTACAGAAGTTTTGTTCCAATTTCTGGGGGAGCAGAGTTGCTCTCATAACACCCCCCATCCCACCTCCATCTTCCACAGCTGCATCTCAAGTACTTTCAAGGAGAAGTAAGCTGGGATTCCAAGGCCATGACGACAGGATGCACGGTATTCAATAGCACAGCTGTCATTTGGAGGTTGTGGTTTTGGTAGCCAAGAGTCTGGTTAAGGCACGCACCATATCTTTTAAATTTTATCTGATAACTTCATAGCAACAGAGTCAGAAAATACATCTGTTTCTTTTCCTTTTTTGAATCATGCTTGAGATCATATCACTCCTTATTTTTGTAAACTGATTTTCCCCCTTTTTCTTCCCTCAGCATTTTACTTATTTGTTAGAGACAGAATTTTTTTTTAATCATCTGCAGGCTTTAACTGCAGAAATTTGAACTAACTTTCTAACCTTTTTATGCTTTGTCCAGAAGGACCATTTCCTTTCGTTGGGACTCTCAGCTGTGGGGAGTTTGTCCTTATAAATGGCCTTTGTAAAACCTTCGTAACTGCTGTCTGCAAACCTGCACTTGAGAGGAAGCAAAAGCTTGTTTCCAAGGGCAGGTATTTCAAGCCTGCTAACCAGACACACTCGCCCTCCAGTCTCTTTGTATTTTTCAGTCTTTGTTTCCATTTCTCTTCGAGCTCAGCGGCCTCCCATTCTCCCGTTTGCCAGGCTTCCTCTTAGAAATTCTTCAAGGTTTTTGAAGCCTATTGAGACTTTATTGAGAATATAATGCTATGGAATTTCTTCCCAGAAAAATTTGCATTCATATTCTCTCCAGGTGCCTCAACCTCTAAGGAACCAGTTTATTTCCTATCTTTAAAGCATAAAGGAGTACAATAGAAATTTGCCACATGAGGAATGCTGTCAACCAAATATACAAGGTAAGTATACTGCTCAGCTTTGAATACACAGAGAAATGAATATGTTTAGAAGAAAAGAGAAAGATTCCAGGTGTATTAGTTTCTTGAGGCTGCCATAACAAACTTCCATAAACTTAGTGGCATTAAATGGTAGAAATGTTTTTCCTCATCAAGATTGGCAGTCATGCTCCCCACACCGGTTCTAGGGACAATTCTGTTCTTGTCTCCTTAGGGGTTCTTGGCTCATGGCTGCATCACCCTAATGTCTACCTACCTAGTCACATTGCTTCCTTCTCTCCTGTCTGCCAGACCTCCCCTGTGTGACTCTCATAAGCACACCTGTCATTAGACTTAAGGACCATCTGGACACCCAGGGTTACCTCTTCACCTCAGCATCTTTAACTTAATGACATCTGTAAAAACCTTTTTTTCACCTAAAGTCATGTTTTCAGGTTCTTGCAATTAGGACCTGCACTTTTGTTTTGATAGGTCACCATCCAACCACTATACTAAGTAAGGAAACATTGGACTTCTAAGAGCAGCTCTTCTGGTATACATGGTCTTTAGCTACACAGAGGCTACTTACTGTTCCCTTTAGATATGTGGAATGGTTATATCCCCCACTCAGTTTGATGAATTGAGTCACAGACATTTACACAGACTTTGGATCCAGGTAGTGCTAAGTTTTAGATTGGCCTCTATCAATTTCTAAGCTGTGTGACCTTGAGCAAGTTATACTCTGAGCTTCGGTTCTTGTATTTGTGAAACAGGACTGATAACAATACCTGCCTTCTGGGCACAAGGTAACCAAGGTTTAGCTGAGATTGGGCATGAGTTAGAATGCTTTGGCGCCAAGCAACTGAATACCTAACAGTGTCTTACAGGAAAAGACATTTGTTTACTTCCAAGAGTGATGTGACAACTCAGTGATGGCCTCGGGACTCAGGCTCATTCAGTCCTCTTTCCTTCCATTTTCAGAGTATGGTAATGGCTTCTTCTGTGGCTACAGAATGGAAGACAAAACTTCCATTACTGATGCTCTGGAACATTACCCAGAACTTTCTTGAGACCAAAGCACTCAGTCCCTCAGATGCTGAAAGTGTTGGTTTCTAGTGGCTTATAGTTGAATCACTCTGTAGGAATTGCATTTGGCTGAAGGAAGCTGTTCCTCCCAAATTTTATCCACTCCCTGGGAGCAGCTCACATCCAGTGTCTAGTCAGTGTGGGAGATAAAAAGTCCTGATCCCTTTGCC